ACAAGATGGTTCTCCGTTGTTTAGTGACAGATCAAAGTGCTATTTGTCTTGCTAAAAATCCAATCCTTCATTCCGGATGTAAGCACATTGAATTGAAGTATCATTTTATCGAAACCCGATAAATGATGGAGACTTGAGTTTGTTGAAGATTCCAGGTGCGGAGAATCCCGCTGATATGTTGACCAAGACTGTTACAACAACTAAGTTGAGGCTTTGCATTGCCTCAACCGGCCTTCGAGCAAATTGATGATGAAGGCACTACACTAGGTGGTAACGTAAATCAAACTCCAAGTGGGAGAATTGTTAGTATTATGGTGCTTGATTTAGTCCCACATCGATTAGGATTGTGAGATGAGGTTCTCTATTTTGTTATATAAGCAACCCTATGTAAAGTTTGAGATACACACAGAAATAAAAATACTTCCTAGTGTAGTCGTGGACGTAGGCATACATATTTTAGCCGAACCACGTTAAAATTCTTGTGTCGTTTATTTTTCTCTCCTTCATTCTTTCCTTTATTATTGTCTTGTTCCTAACAATGTTGTTGTTGGAATCTTTGCCCTGTAATACTTTCTCTGTCTTTTTTTTCTGCATTAATGATGTGAACCATGCAAATTATTATGATGTTATAAGAAAATTATCTCCAACCTCTATTATTAAATAAAATTGAAAACAGGTCAAAGATAAAATGGAAAATATTCTCATAAAGAAACTCTAGTGTGAGTTTCCTCCTAAGTAAAACACATGCTTATGATCTTTCGAGGACAACGAAATGAATATTTTAACGACATCTAAGATAAATTATTGAGTGCTGTTCAAGAACATTTGCGTTGATGTTAAAGATGAGATTAAAATAGTAACAATTAAAACAACTTAGAAACCCCCCATTGACTTGGTGTCTTTCCCAGAAGGATCAAATGAGTTTAAAAATATAAAATCATATATTATAATTTACCGTACCTTATAATATTTTACCCACATATACCTTATTTAATAGTCACAAAAGTTGTAGAGTAACCACGATTGAACTCAATAATGGGATGATGTTCTTAATAATTCTGTTTTTTTTTTTAAATAATTTCATAGTTAAAGTTCGGATATAAATATATAATTTTTATATATTATTTAAACAATAAAAAATTATAATAAATTAAAATTTTAAAACAGACAACATTTTAAAAGTATGAAGTTGGAAACAGTTTCAGTTCCTTAACAGAACAATAATGTCTAGTATAAATAAAACATATAATTTATATATTAAATTTAGATTTAAAATTTACTCTCTTAGAAATAAGATTGTATATATTTTACTTATTTAAAAAACTAAAGTACATTTTATTTTTAATTTTGAGAAGATAGAAAGGAATTTATGTTAAACTTGAAATATTTTAAAAGCATAATTAAATAATTCTATGCATATGAGTAATTAATTAACTTCTGAGTTTATTATAGAACACAAAGATGTTGTAGTAGGAAAAATACAAAAAAGCTCATCATCATTAACCTGATTGCCGAAACCGTAACTTTTGTCCCAACACAAAGGACATTCAAAGTGGAGCTCTTATTAGCTGTAAGGTGTTCGTTAAAAGTCCACTTACGTGCACCAAGCATCCATAAGTGTCTAGCGAGTGATCATGGTTTATGCAACCAGAAAAAAAAAAAAAAAAAAAGACTTCACCTTTGACGAAAACACCCCAAAATATCTTTGGGGAAGGAAACCCTTTGGAGGAAAAAGCCATGGACACTCGCATTCTTTAACAAAGTTCACTGCCCCAAATCTGTAAGGGTAGGGTTCATGGTACACTGAGCTGTACACGACTTGGTTTTGTCATTTCTTGGTTTGCAACACACATTTTTAGCCAAGTAGGAGTCCTACACGCAAAAGGGTAAGTAATTTAATATATGATTAGATGAAAAGATTATTCTAGTTTAGGATTGTTGCTTGTTCCACCTTGTCATCTGCATAGGTGGCTTCCAGTTGTTGTGACAGAGAAGTGACTTCTATTTTTAGGGGCAGTACTGTAATTAGGGAGTTACTTTTGTAAGTAATCTAGTTGTTGAATCTATGGATTATGATTTTCTTAGAACAAGATTTCTTCAGTTAGGTTAAAATTTGTATAGAAAACCCTTATTATTATATAAAAAAAGTGTATATAATTATTATTTTACTATAGGCGAAATTGACGAAAATTTCAAGAGGTTGAATATTGACCATGTGTCGTGATCTTGCTAAGCAAAGGAATTTGTGGACAGAAGTTGATGAGAAGTGCAACATTTTTTTTTTTGCTTTTTCTTTTCCTTCCTTTATTTTGAGCACTTGCTTCACATAGTCTAAAGAAAGGGAGAAAAGCACTTGTAGCCCACAAAAACAAAAGTTCCAAAGCATTATAAAAAGGAACTTGATGCATAGCTTACGTTGTTTTTAGTGTGGTCATAATGAAGTTTACTATAAAATAGTACCAACATTTTCTTTTTCCTCCTTCAAATTCATTCATGTGGAGTTATCCTGATGTGACTTTTAAGATTGTAACATTTTCCTTGGAAAATCATATGTGGAGAGTTTATAAAGATTTATGAAGAAATGCTCTAGTTACATATCATAAACTATGCATTACTATTGAATTCGAAATATATGTAAATGGGAAAATGAAAAGAAATCAATGGTGCATGAACAAGGTGGGATGATATTTTGTGGGACAACTCAATACCATGAGCTAGGTGTCTCCATTGTTTTCCAACAAATCCATGTGTCTCTTCTTTCAAATTGCTTAATCATATTAAGATCTTGACTATCACAAGAGGGAAAGTAATGGCAAGGAAGATTGAGAAGCTCAATCAAGTAATGCTAAAATGAAGGAGAATCCCATCATGCATGAACAAGCCAAGCAACAAGATGAGATGGTTCAAATTTTTTGGGTCCTCAAGCTAATGGCTTTTGAGCAAAATGTATGAACCCCACAAAAATAATGTTAATTCTTGCATTAATCAAGTTATCAAGGAAAATATCTTTGAACTTTGCATGCTTAGGTTAGAGTATATGATCATGGTGAGAAGCAAAAATGCAGCTAATAAGAGCAGCAAAGTAATGACTTAAGCAAGGTTTTATAAACTAATTATCCTAAAACTGTGCTCCTATTTTGCAAAAATCAAATCTTTCCTAAAAACTCAATGTTGGTAAAATAAATAGTTTGGTCCACTAGTAAAGTGAATTATAATATTCCAGTAAAAATACACTCTCGTCCATCTATGTTTACAATTTTGTCACAATGTTTAAAAGGTTGCAAGAGTTTCAAACAACAGTGGTGCAGTTTTAATTTTTTTTTTTTTTTTTTGAAATTTGAACCAAAATTTCATCCAAATATGGATGAATAATGATGAATCTTTAAATAGGATTGAAGTTGTCTGCAATAATAGCATTGTGGATGTAGATTTAGTAACCATTTTTTGATGCAGGATATATGAACTGGGTCCTGCAATCCTGTGTCATTACTTTTAACAAGTGAGGTATGCGAATGAGAATGAAATGAGATGAGATCACACAGCACCATTATTGATGACATTAACTTGTTAACTTCTATATTTAATCATGTTTAAAATGTGCTCATGGTTGGCTAGGAAAATCATGGTAGATGATTTTGCACCAAAAAATTGGGAAACAAAGTGCTGTTTCTTATGTACGGTGACAACTAGCATGAGCCTCCACCTCTGTTTTGTGCAGATGCAGCTGGCATATTCCCCTTTATACTTTTAGTAATTGGTAATGCAGAACCAAAAGTAAAGGAAAAATCAGAGTTTGGTTCTTAAATTCAGTCAAAAACAAAAACACCAAAATAAAGAGATGGAGAAAACCTAAACCAAGTATATTAGTTGTCACTTTCTTGGAGAAGTAAAAATTATAATATTCATTGTACATGTCCCATTGGTCATCCAATTTCAATATTAAACGTAATTGTGGAGAAATAATGCAATATTATATTCATAGACCCTGCCACAGAAGCAACCCTTTTCTCTATATAAACCAACTCTTGCCTCTCTTGTTCCTCCCCCTTCTCCCTCTTGCTTCCTTTGATAACTTTGCATTGGCTTTGAACCTTGCTTCTCCATACCCTCTTCTTCTTTTGCCTTACCCATCATTCATTGTTCCATTTTTGGTAAGCTGATAGCTTCGTCTATTTTTTCATGCAAAGCATTTTCTTTTGGTTGTTTTCTTTCTTCTTCTTTTTTCTTTCACCAATGCCCTGAATCATTCACTTTTGATTTTCAACCAGCCATGAGTTCTTGATCCTTCAAACGTAATTAACATTAGGCCATCATTACCATGATCATGATTTTGAGGTTTTGCCTTCTGATTTACCAGCATGGAACCAGATTTTGGAATAAAGAACAATACCTGCAATAACTCTGTTTTGTAGAAATGTAAACTTGTTTATATGGTGATTCTAAAAAATATGCATTGCTGTAAAGCGGTGTTTTTTCATGGACAACCCACTTGGTACTTTTAGTTGGATGGTGAAAGGTTGTAAATGAGCAAATTGTATGCTTTGAAAAGTTTATGCACTTTTGGAAGTGGTTTGCCCTGTCACATGAACTCTGTTCCAAGGTTTTATTAATCGGTTTGTGCCTTTCACACAAGTCCATTTCTTGTGGCTTCAAAGCAAGGGTTACCAAGTTTCTTTGAGGGCACCTTTTCACTGTTTTTTTTTTTTTTAATTAAATCCATTCCACTGGTTGTGGATTGTCCACTCAGAAACTTCACAAAGCCTCCTTATCCCAAATGGTTTGGATTGCCCCCTTATTTGTCTCCCCTTACGGACACTTTTGCCACTTTTGGTGCTAATCTGAGTTAAAAGAAAAGGCATCTATTTTTGGTTCCATGAAGCCACGAGGATTTGTGGCTGGAGAATCAAAATGAATTGTCCTAAAAATTTTGATTGGTTCAACTAAAGATTCCGTGGAACTTACACACGCTTTGTTTTCTGTTCCATGTTTAAGGCTTTGAAATGGAGTTCGAAGACCGCTTCAGACACCAGGCTCAGAGATCAAAATATGATTGCCTTCTTTTTGGTGAGCCTTGTGTTGCAATCAGAACAACTTTAAAATACCAAATTAGATTTCCTTTTTCATGTATGTTGATTTATAACTATGAGATTCTTCTGCAGATTTAGATGATACTTTGTATCCCCTCAAATCTGGTCTTGCAAAAGCATGTCTCAAAAATATTAAAGGTAAGCCACTGTTCCATATGCCCATGTCACTGCATTCTCAGAATGACTTCATAATTTGTACTCATATGAGTGGTATCATTGATCATAGACTACATGGTTGAGAAGCTTGGCATAGACCCAAGCAAAATTGATGACTTGTCCAACCTCCTTTACAAGAATTATGGAACAACTATGGCTGGTCTAAGGGTATGTTTCCTCATTATTTCCCGTGAGATTGGTTTCCATTATTAAATTCTTGAAACACTAACAGCCCATAATTGTTTTTGTTTCATTTTCTGTTCAGGCAATTGGATATGACTTTGACTATGATGAATATCATAGGTACCTTGGCTTTTCCTTTACCCCATCACTTTTGAAACTAATAAAATGTGTTTCTTTTCATAATTTTTTGTGTGTTTGTTTTGAAATGGTGACATTGGCTTTTTACTTACTGCTTGCAGTTTTGTTCATGGGAGATTACCTTATGAGAACCTAAAACCAGACCCAGTTCTGAGGAACCTGTTGCTGAGCCTGCCCTATAGGAAACTTGTAAGTTATTTTATGACCAATATGGAAGCAGTAAAATAGGTCACATAAGATGGTGCATAATAATATCTAATGTGGCCTTTATTGCTTCTCTTGTTTTTGTCAATAGATCTTCACAAATGCAGACAAAGTCCACGCGGCTAAGGCACTTAACAGGCTTGGATTAGAAGACTGCTTCGAAGGAATCATATGCTTTGAGACCCTTAATCCCATCCACAAGAGCACTGTTTCTGATGATGAAGATGACATTGAGTTTGTGGGTTCAAGGGCAACCAATCCAACCACTAGTAGTAATGGTCCAGGCACTTCTCAAATCTTTGACATCATAGACCATTTCGCTAAGCCAAATCCCAGTCCAGTCTTGCCAAAGACACCAATTATTTGCAAACCATCAGAAAATGCCATTGAATTGGCCCTCAAGATAGCCAACCTTAACCCTCAAAGAACTGTAAGAAATTCACACTTTAAGCTTCATGGTTTAAATCTAAAATGCCCTTTTAACCTAGTTAATTATCTCAAATTTAAAAGGCTTTAATTTAATCTCTTAAATGGTCTTGTTAAACCAAGTTGGTCTTCTCTAACCAAATGTGAAAGATGTCATATCAGATTAACGTTTTGTCAGTCAATTCAGGACAAAAACTATCTTAGTTTAAAAGGCTAAATTAAAACTAAAAAAATATGATGAGAGACTTAAAATGTCCATTATCAGTTATCTAATTGTTTTTTGTGTTCTTATATCAGTTGTTCTTTGAGGACAGTACCCGTAACATACAAGCTGGAAAACGTGTGGGCCTTCACACTGTGCTGGTTAGTCATTAGAGATTTTGTCATGTAGTACAAACTGAGTTCATTCTAGAAGCTATTATTGGTTGCATTTTAGTGTATATATATAAACCCTGCATGATCTAAGTTGAATCTCTATATATATACTCATTGATTGCTACATCCAGGTTGGTACATCCCAAAGATGTAAGGGTGCAGATTATGCTTTGGAAAGCATTCACAACCTTAGAGAAGCTGTGCCAGAACTAAGGGAGGCTGATATAAAATCAGAAGTTGGATACCCTGGAAAGCTAGCTGTGGAGACACCTGTCACAGCTTGAGATTGATTTTTATGTGCATGAAATTAAGTCCCTTCAATATTGTTCATTTAATCAATTGAAATTCCACCAAAAAAAGGAACAAAAGAGAGAAAAGCAATGGGAATTCCCCAACTTCAGATGTAGTAGTTGTAGCTGATGTAGATGCTTTGTAAGATTGCAATAATTTAGTCATTAAAATAAGTCCTCCTTTTTGGCTTTACTATGTTAAGAATCTATAACTAATTCTCTTCCTCATACATCAAAATTTCCTCAACATTTACGTCAAGTTTCCCTTTCTTAAACTATGATTATTGTTGCAGAGGGTCTAGTAATATAAACCTCATGCCCAGTAAAATTTGAAATGAAAATTTACTAAAATAATTGAGGTGAGTAATTTTGACAAGTAAAAGGAACATTGTGAACAAGAAAATATTAATTTAAATAAATCATTTAATTTTATTACATAAATTCTTTAAAATAGGCACTAAAAGAATTGTGAAATATGACTATTCTAATAATAAAAAAATTGTATACATAAAAAAAGCTAGTACAAGTGATGAAAAGGGGCATCATCTTTTTATATTGGTATAAATAAAATATAAAATATTGAATGGTTATAGTATATTTCAAGTGTTGAATTGTGTATTTTATATTTGACGTGAATGGTCACGCAATTGCTGGTTATGAATTGATCATAACAAAGCAAAGCAATCATAATCTGAAATGGTCAATTCCACATTATTGTCAGGATTCATATTCTATACAAATCTAATTTCCAAGTGAAGTATAGGTTTGACGGACTTAAAGGTATAACATGTTTAAAGTGCGTAACGCAATTAATAAAAAAAGGTTGAACGATTATAATAATTGACCCAAGTTGTTTAGAAAATTAATAGTTTAATCTTAACTTGTCTCCATCATTAGGGTTTATAATAATCAATTCAACGCAAAAGAATAAGGAAAAAAAAAAAATATTGGCTGCACCAAAGCCAAATCAATCTGAACTATGGATTTAAAAAGAGGTGAAATTATCTTTATTATCAAAATATTACTAATTACTACATGCCATGAATTTAAAAGTTGAATAAAGCTAATAACTTTGTAATGTGTAAGAAAAATAACTCTTTTCTTTACAATTAAGAGCTTAATATTTTTCATTAAGCCTCAATTTATCAAGACCTTTAATTTCTTAATTATATGAATATTTTTAAATTTTATTCATTAATTAATATTATTATATTAAATAAATTGAAAAAATTATTATATTATTATTGTTTTAAAATCCTCTTAATTAATAATAAATAGTTTAAATTTAATTCATTAGTATTTATAATTTAAATTATAATATTATAATATATTTATATATTATAATAATATATAAAGTATAATATTTTAATTATAATTATTTTTATTTTATTTTTATTCAACTTATAAATATTTTTAAAATAGATAAATGAAAACATAATAAAGTAAAAGGATAAGACTATTAAATTGAGACAAGCTAACTAGTTTAGTTTATAATTTATATTAATAAAATTAATTTAAATTTAAATATAATAATTTTATATAAATTATATAATACATATATATTTTAATAAATTATTATTATTTAAAATATAATATTTTTTTTATAGAATAATTGACACATAAACCTAACATTAATCCAACTAAATTCATTTAAACGCCGAATCAAGTAAAAAATCGATTTAGTTATAATTTTTTACCTTATATATTTCCTATATTTATGAACTTTTATGTTAATCCATGGTATTTCGACAATATAATTAATATTCCATTAGATCACATTTAAGGATTCAAAATAAATTCACACAATTTTGATATAAGAGAAATAAATTTAATATTCTATTTTGATACTGTATTCAATTTTTAGATTTACTCATACAATCATGAAAAATAAAAGCTTTCAGTTTTACTAAATACAAGCAAAAAGAGTGTACCATCTTATGTTCAAAACTATTTCCTTCACTATCTTCTTATGTCTTTTTTTTTTTTTTAATTATTATTATTATTATTATCACATGTAATTGTAGGTTCATAATATTTTTTATAATTATTTTTTAAAATATTTCTTAAAAGTTTTGTTTTATTTTCTTTCTCTACTTTTTAAATGTACATTTTTTTCTCTACTACTTTTCCCTACTAACTATGTATTATATTTTATTTTCTCATATATTTACTATTATTTAAATATATAAATCATAATAATTAATTTTTTTAATTATGAAACTTTAATGACAAAAAAAATTTTAAAAAAAAAATTTCTATTATATATAATTATAAATTATTATGATTTGTGAAAACACATATACTAAAGTATCTATATTTTTTTTATAATTTTTTTAAATATTATTATAAACTTTTTTCTCTCTCCACTCGTTAAATATTTTTTTTCTCATATTATTTTTCTCTCTATATTTTTTTTATTAAATTATGATACTTTTATTTTTCTCTTTTCGATAAAAATAATTGAAGGATATAATAAATATATGAATGGTTCTTTCTTCCTTATAATTTCACTGAGAATTTATAAGTATTCATTACATTTAAATTATCATAAAGGTCCTGCATTATTAATCAATTAGAAATACATTTAAAAATTTGTATGTGAAAAAGAGTTTTATTTTAACACATATAAAGCTTTTTACGTTATTAATCAATTAAAAATACCTAAATGTGACATCATTAATTAAAATATAATTTCAATAAAACTTTAAATTCTTATTGTACATGACAATAATCTATTATTAGATTAGGGTAAAATTAATTCATCTTAAATGATTTTTTTGTCATATAAGTATATTATAATATGGTCTTATTTTTTAAGTGAAATATAGATTGAGTTGTTTGACTTTGTCTCTTGCAATAAAGTAACGGATTTATAAAATATTTTTAGAAACGACTAAAAACTTTCAATTAAAACATAAATTAAATAAGAGAAAAAAACACAAGTGAATAATTATTTAATCCATGCTTAAAGAGGACATAAGAACTTAATAATCGATGTCATAAAGAAAAATTGTATAAATAACATTGTCAATATCATCATATTATGTAATAATATTCTTATTCACTACTACTCCTAATGACTTGTACTCAATCTATGAAATTTTTTATCTATTCAATGACTATGAAGTTAAGGAAATTTGAGAAGAAAGCATTGAATAGGGTAAAGTTGTGACATGGTTTGGTCTAAATATTAGAAATATAAATTTTTTAATTATGCATTCAATTATGGTAGATTTAATAAAATAATATTTTTATATTATAATAAATTTATTAATATTAATATTTTTAAAAATAAAAATAATAAATATTATTTTTATGTTACAATAAAAATTATAAATATTGTTTTTATGTTACAATAAAAATTATAAATATAAAATATATTAGATAATAAAAAATAAATAATTATTAAATTAAGATAAAAATATAATAAAATAATTATTATTTAAATTAAGATAACTAAGGAAAAAAAAACTAAAATATATTATATTTTTTATAAAAAATTTATTAAAAAAAATGATCATAATTTTTTTATCAAAAACAATTCGATCCTAAAGCCTCATCAATTTTTTTAATTTTATCGATTTACTTATTTAGAAATAATTGATGTAGTCCGATTTTTAATTTAACTGGTTAAAAATCGATCCGATTTTCAAATAGTGCATGTTACAACATATTATCATATTTTTAATTGATATAAAATTTATTATTATTTTTTATTTTATGCTCACATACTATTAGTTGAATAAAATCTTTTATTTATTTATGGTCGATCAGGTCTTTTTTATACTTAAAATTAAATGATTAATTTTTTTAATAATTGAGACATAGTCGATTTAATTATTAAAATAATAAATAAATATTTAATTTAGTCTTTGAATATATTAAAGTTACATTAGTTCTAAATATGAAACCTTCGTAATAAAATAGTTTTTATTCACTATCAACTTAGTCTTAACTTAACAATTAGTCATACTTATTATACTTTTTATTAACAACCTCTCTCACATTTAATAATGAAATAGGTCATTTACTTGTGATTAATTTTGGGTCTTTGTTTATATTACTTTTCTTTCCCTCTTCTGCATCTAAAGTTTGAGTCCATGTTCCCATTTGCACAAATCAACAGAATGAAGCAGGTGAGGTAGCTCTGCGAACGGTGAGTGGTGAGAGGTGACAAGTGAGTAGTTGAATCTACACTTGCTATTGATTCACGCAAGAGGTGAAGTATTCTTATTTCCATAATCAAATTGTTATGTTTTCGTTAAGTTTTTTTTTTCTCGTCTGATAATTTAAGCTCTGTAATTGTTGTCTTAATCTTCGTTTAACCTCTGAAACTTACGATCAAGCTAGAGAGTGACTGGATTCGGGAAGCTCTTATCAGGTGTGTTTATGAATATATTATTTGCACCTCACTTTCATCTGAAACCGCGTATACCTTCTGGGGATTCACTTTAATGTCAGTTAGCCAGACGAGATTAGGATGAAGGTAATAAGATAAAATGTTAAGACAAAATTAAAAAAGAAAAGAAAAAACTTTTCATAATATGTATGAAAAAACCTTAAATAACAATAAAGGGAAATACGTCAAATACTTGTAAGAATAGTGGATATGCACTTATTATTCATTAAGAAAATGTTCGTAATTGTTTGAATTCAACTAAAAATAAATAAAGGGTTCTAGTTGATGTGTATATAAGTTTAATGAATCTTTTATACCTATTCAATTCTTCTCTTTAAATAAAACAAATTCCTAGTTGACAATAGAATAAAATCTTCAATACTTTTTATTGCAGTTGATTTCCTTTCTTCACACGCTCTACAAGAGAATCAAAAGCATAATACTTCAAATATAAAGCGAGAAACAAGATGATACAACTTCCAAGTAAGTTCTCAAATCCATATTTTTGTCTCACTTAGCTTTCTTCATATGTTTTCCGTATGACTTTCATATTTATTTTCAATTTTTCATTACATTTTGCATCCCTTAATTCACAACTAGGACCATTCAAAAAATTCAACTAACTAACGTAAACTAATATTGACATGCATTGCATTATAAAAAATGAATTATTTTGAAAGAAAAACCTAATAATAACTCAAATAATTTATTGAAAATTTTTAATATGATAATATTATAGTATATAAATGAATGTAATTTTGACATTACTAAATCAATTTTATAGGATTAAGTTAAATATTTAGTATTAGATGCCAGAGAGGAAAATTTATAGGATTAAGTTAAATATTGGATATTAGAGGGAAAAATCTTCACATGCAGAAGTATGCACAAAAACAAAGATAGATAACAGAAACACTCTCGTACAATGCACAGAAAAATTAACACACAATTATCTAAGTCTCTAATACACCTAAAGATTACAAATTCTTTCTTGACCAAAACTACCTAATTCTCCAACCCATTATTTATAATAATAATCTACCACTCCCTTTTTTTAAACTAATCGACGTGGAACTTTGGAGGATATTCACACTTTCTACACTGTGGATTAAACCAATCAAATTTTGAATCATTCATCATCGATATGAAATGAATACGATAAAAAAGTCTTCTTCGATATATGAGAATATATCCAAAACTCTCATTTAAAGTGAAGATATATCATATATATAAGTACGTAGAATTCTTACTAAATAGATTTTGGATGGTTGAGTTAAGAATCTAAAAGATAATCTGTGAAACAAATCATAGCAATCACTGATAATTTTGTATTCAGTGATAGGCACGTGGATATCCATAGAAGGGCATAGGAGGCTAGCTCAAATCATCCCAGATCATGTGCAAGAATGGTGGGACAAATGGGAGATACGAGGACTTATTTTGATTAGCCTTCTCACACAGATTGTATTAACACTACTAGGTGACCGTACAAAATATAAACCCAATATGTGGATTAGAGCAATTTTGTGGTCTGCGTATTTGCTTGCAGATTGGGTTGCAGCAGTAGCAATGGGTGTCATCTCCAGCAGTCTAGGAGACTTCTACAATAAGGGGGAACAACCAAAGAATGCTAATCCTCAGCTTCTAGCATTTTGGGCTCCATTTTTTCTATTGCACCTTGGAGGTCCTGATTCCATCACAGCTTATGCATTAGAAGACAATGAGTTATGGCTGAGGCACTTTGTTGGTTTGGTTTCTCAAACCATCCTCACTGTCTACGTCATTGTCTTGTCTTGGAAAGGTAATTGGCTTTCACATCTTTATTGGGATTATCAAGTACGGGGAAAGGGCTTGGTCACTATATTGTGGAAGTATCAAACATCTTCGAGATTCTTTCCTTAATTCATTGGATTCTTCTAGGAAGAGTGAACTGTGGCAAGAATCCAGAAACAGTGGAGTAGGAGAATTGAGGTCATGTCTTGGAACCATTTATATCTTCATAAGCCTCTTTGTTGATTTGGTGTTGAGCCCATTGGACAATACTCGAGATAAACAAAAATTACAAAATGAGGCAATTTACGACTGTATCAAGCCTTTTACTTGGGTGAAAATCGAACTTGAAATTTTGTACGATGTCTTCTACACCAAGGCATTTGCAAATTATGGCGTCTTGGGTTTTATCACTCGTTTACTCACTCTATCTGCCACTATCGTTGTGCTTGTGTTATATGCTAATTTAAGCGAAAAGAAGGAGCACCAGATTATGGATCACATCATTACATACTTGTTGTTGGTTGGAGCTTTAATCATGGAAATATATTCCTTTATATTGGTTTCCATTTCCAGATGGACAACGATCTACTTTTCAATGAAGGGTTTGGGTCAAATTTGTATGCCTCTAAGTTGTTTACACTTCCGGTTATATGCCTTACGTTTTACACAACGAACTAGTTTGGCACAATCGAACTTCTTCCATTTGATTTGCAGCAAAAGTTTGAAGATGAAGGGTGATCAGCTCCCAACGAACAAGTTAGAAAGCACACCCAAGTGTGTTGGTAGTTGCTTAACCTCTCATTATTTGCTAGAAACGATCTTTCGAAACTTGCTGGATAAATCATACACACAGTCAAATCCTTCGGGTGCCCCTGGATATAGGAATCTTTTGTTGGAAAACAAAGACCCAATCTTCTCAAGTGAACTTGAATTTCATAGAACAATTATCACATGGCACATTGCTACAGATCTGTTGTATTACTCTACCCACGATTCATGTTCTGAAGTAGACAGAAGGAAGAATAACTGCAAGGAGATGTCTGATTATATGTTTTACCTCCTGGTCAAGCAACGTCACATGTTGCCCGTAGGAGCAGGGTTGATAACTCTTCGTGACACAGTAATTGAAGCCATGGAATATTTTGAACATGTCAAAGTTCCTCCACAACAAAGCAACTTATCAGAAACTTGTAAGGTACTGCTTCGACATGACACAGCCACAGCAGGAGCAAGAGATGATGAAGTCCGAAGATGCAAAGTTTATCAGTTCTGAATCATGCTTGTGCAGTCGCAAAACAACTCCTTACAACAGTAAATAGAGATGAAGAAACGTGGGAGTTTATTGAAAAACTGTGGATTGAGATTCTGTGCTATGCTGGTGCTCAATGTAGAGTAGATATGCATGCTAATCAACTTAGAAGAGGCCCTGAATTTCTCACTCACATTTGGCTCCTTCAAGCTAATTTTGGTTTGTTGGATCAATTTCAAATAAGACCTCGTGAGGTGAGTGTGTAAATGCTATGCCACTAAACAAGGAAACCTTGGTCCACCATCTTCGGTAACATTTTATGTTTTTGTTATTTGTAACAACTCGTGTTGATGTGTTGGAATGAAGTACTATATGGAGTCACCAACATCATTAAATTTTACTTACGTTTCTGTCAGTTCTTAATAACCTTTTCTAAACCGTCATAAAAGAAAGGAAAAAGTTTAAAATACATCCAAGTTATGAAGCAATGGAGAAGGTATTGTAACGTTCCATCCTAAGGAAGCTTTATGCAGGTATGTATATGAATAAAGTATGCGAAGTTTCTGACTTTCATCTCAAACCGTAGACCTTCCAGGGATTCACCTTAATATAAAGATTGTGATTTAAGTTATGGATTTAATTAGTATTTGTACACTAAGTAAAGTATATAAATGGATAAATTAGGAGTTGAGAAAGCCATTCCACCTATATTATATTATATTATATTATATTATACATATATATATATATATATATATATATATATATATATATATATATTGAGTATTTTTTATGATACTAAACATTGAAAAGATTTTTATTAATAAATACAAATAATCATATAAAAAAAAATTTGATATTATTTTCAATTCAAAATTTTAAAATATTCTATGGATTTTTTTATCAATAAATTATTCAAGTTTTTTATTTATAGATTTTAAATAATTATTTAATACGTTAAATCATTATTTATTATTTTATTCTTTTTACATACCAAAAACATATATTATTAAATTCTTTAATCATATTTATTATCATAAAAATCATAAATTTATTTTTTGTTTTCTATAAATCTATCACTATTTCTTTTGCTGAAACATGAGATGATATGCAGAACTTGTAATCAAGCAAATCCTCCATAAATAATAATTGCCAATATAAGATGCATTTACGAGGACTAATTTTTCATTTACAATTTTACATTATTAACAATGTCATCAAATGGTACAATTGAAAAATTTTCAGTAAGAAGTGTTATATATGATCTTAGTATATCAATTTAGGATTGAGTAAATAATTTTAAAAAAAGTTATTTTTTTATATTAATTATATATATATGTGTCATTAAAAAAATAATGTTTTTATTTTATTTTATAACTTTTATATATATTTATAATTTTAACTTTTAAACTTAATAATCATTAAATTATTTATATATTTACAATTTTATCTTCTATTTTTTTATATTCTTTCACTTTTTATATTTATTTATTATTTATTAATAATATATTATTACATCTTTCAAATATTACTACCTTATAATGTCATACTTAATCAAACAATTTAAATTTCAACATTAATATCACTCACATAGTTTTATCTTAAACCCTAATTCCCCAAGTAAAAAGAACTTAAGTTCCATTATTAAGTCTCAATTGCTCGCATAACCCAATAGAGTAGCTTACTTTAAATTCAATGACTAAAAAAAATGACCAATAAATCATGACATGTGGTTGATTACTAGTTAATCACATTTAAAGACGAAGAAATAATTTTTTAATCAAATGCCTTAGCAAAAGCTATGGGTGATCTCCCACATCAAACACGAAGAATAGAGATGAAACACCAATATTGAAGAACAAAGTAAATAATATATATAATAAAAATTTGCTTTTAGGTTTGATTTTATCTTCCAAATACTTTTCTTTTAATTTCTTCACTTCTTTCTTAAAAAAAAACATAAATTTATGATAATATGTTCAAGGAGTTATGAAATATTAAACCTACTCCTAATTTATTGTTAGATTGACATAATATTTAAGTAAAGCAAAATTTTAAATATAAATATAATACATAAGTATACAAAATTATAATGATTATATAATCTTCAACTCTAAAATCAAGTTATATATATATATATATATATATATATATATATATATATATATATATTAAAATAGTATGAATAATTAAAAATCTTGATATATATTAAGGTTCTAATATAAAATTATAATTGATAATATATGAAGTAACCTATTAAATATTTAAACTACAAGATAAATAATACAGAAATTGAATAACATACAAGGAAGTATAACTCATAACCTAATGTCTTAATATTTTTAGATGAGAGTGATATCAATATTTATGTAGGTTAGACTCATCTCTCAAAGGTGTGTTTTTCCCCTATGAATACATAACACTAAAACGTCCCTTCAAATTAGGGATGACAAAACGGGTCAGCCCGCTTTGGCTTATCCCGCCTTTGACCCACCTATTTTAATTTAGACGATTATGATTGAAATATTATTAATATTTGATATTTTGTAATATTTTTACTCTATATATACATACATAAAATACATGAATAAAAAAATATACACATATGGTATATCAGAAATATACTTAAATAATATCTAAAAAATTTCTATCATATAACAATAAAACACAAATTCATATGTAATGACATGATACAACCTATTTATTTAAATAGCAAGTTGTTTTATTGATAACCAATCCTATAAATCATAAAAAGTCAAAGGAGATGCCTACAACTAAATAGGGAGATGCATACATGGTACAGAGACCCAGTTATTAATTTATCAGTTTAAAAATTATCTTTCCCTTTCAAGTTGTTGTATCCAAAGAAAGTTAATATATTTTGACCAAAATCAAAAACTGGACACTCATATTTTATACTTAGTAGCTGGGAACAGTGAAGGTAATTAAAACGAGGCCATTGTTTATTTTATGTTCACAAATCTTTGGATTAGAAAAAACCTTTTGTTTGTCCCTTCTCACATTTTTTTAAGTTAGTTCTTTTGTCAATTTACCTATTAAAATAATTAAATGTTTAATTTAATTCTTGAATGCGTCAAAAATTTCCAATAATTGAACTTAAAAATAAAATAATATATAATTTACTCTTCTTTTAATCCTTAAAATATATTTAATAATCGAATAGTCTCGTAAAATTTACCAAGAATGGTCCATCTGAATTTTTAAATTACATGGAAATTTCAATTTAGTTCTAGAATTTAAATAAATTAAGATAGAGTTTTAAAAGTTATCTCTCTTTAATTTTCAGTAAAGTTTTACTTATTATCGTTGAAAATTTAATTTGATTCTTCTGTGTAACCATAAAACATAATTTAATTATGTAAAACATAATTTTATGCATTGGGAGATAACATATATAATGTATTTCATTATTTTAAAAACTAAACTAACATATTTCACACATTTAATAATTAAATTGGTCGTTTACATACAACTTGAGTCTTCGTTAATATTATTTTTCTTTTCGTTTTCTGTATTTAAATGTTGAAGTGGGTGAGGTAGCTCCGCAAGAACAGTGAGTTCTGCGTTGTGGCTAGTGAGTGAGTACTGGAATCTACTTGATACTGATTTACGCAAGAGGTGAAGTATGCTTATATCCATAATCAAATTGTTATGTTTTCGTGACGTTCTTTTTTCTCTTCTCATAATTTAAGCTTTGTAATTGTTGTCTTAATCTTTGCTTAACCTCTGAAACTACGACTAAGCTAAAGAGTCACTGGTTGCAGGAAGCTCTTATGCAGGTATGTTTATGAATATATTATGCCAAGTTTCTGACTTTCATCTCAAACCCTAAGTTATAATTCACTTTATTCATAACGACGAAGATGATTATATCATAGATCTATATATCTAAGTGAGATTTTTTTATAATTTATAATATTAGAAATCGATAGGTATTTAACGTAAAAAATAATGTGAGATTTGTCCTTACCAGCAAAATCATTACTGTTAACTTTAATATACACTATACAATATTTTCTTTTTATGGATCAAAAATCACAAAACTACTATTAATAAAAATACCCTTAAGCATCCTTTAATCAATGTTTATGAGTATTTTTAAGGCCTAATAACATAGACATTCTCACAAATGAAATGAAATTAAAGAAAATCATATAAAAAAATATATCACTTAACTTTCTCATTTTTAATCAAATGTGAGACTTCAAACTCACATCCTCAAGTGTTATTCCTTTTTATATTGATACATTTCCTTCTTGAGCGAAGTTTTAGTAGTGATCTCACTTGTATTATCGTTTAACACAATAAAACTCGCTTGTCTAAAACTCTTGTTAGGAATACTTTCGACACAATCACTAGTGCAAAAAGGGGCTTTTATGTCAGGTATTTAAGGTTTTTACGTCGTATTTAAGACTGACGTTAAAACGGGAGACGTAAATTTACGTCGGACCCTTTAGCCCGACGTAAATTTACGTCAGTTATCAAGACCCGACGTAATTTTGCGTTACATATACCACTAAATAGACGTAAAAACTTTCGAAAATTAAAAAAAAAACAGCAAATTTACGTCGCATATACCAATACGCGACGTAAATTTTCGCCGCATATACCATATGCGACGTAAATTTGCTGTTTTTTTTTTTTTAAATTTTGGGTTGATTCTGTTTTACAACTAAAACCTGCAAATATATATTACAACCAGACAGTCCAGAGGTTCAATTTTCTTTAGCTAGTAAATTTAAAATATAATATTATGTAATTCAAACTACATAATAAAATAATATAATACAAACATACAAACTAAAAAATCTATTACAAACTAAGCTACCTAAACTACATAATACACACAATATAATATGAATAAGAACTTAAAAAATTATGTACTAGAATTGTTGAACAAAAAATTTTGTCCATTGTTCTCTAATTTGTGTAATATCATATTCGGTAATGGAGATGGATATTGAAATACACGAAACATTAATTTGACTCTTGTAAACATGCAA